TAACTCGGCAACATGCGCCATCCCATTGTTTCAGTTTTATTAGGTGATTACACCTCCTATACCCGATTTCGCGGATTCAACGATACCCTAATATCGAGTATTATATGCGATTTCACGGATAATACCCGATTTCGAGTATTCTCTCCGACCTGTTTAATTTGATATGTGTTCTAAAGATGTAAAGCATACGGGTAATTCCTGATGCAATCGTTTCTGTAGGTAATGAAATCGCTTTCACAAACTGGTCTAAGAACAGCATTACACATCATAAAACATACTCACGGTCCGTCTTGTCTTTTAGGAACACCTCAATAAAGCGTTTTATTTTAAAAGAAAATTAAGAGGTTGAAAATAAATTATCTCTTCTTATCAATGGTTTCTGATGTTACGAACATTTGATCCTTGCGCACAGCTGATACAACATTCATTCATTATTATTATACCTCTATGACTTTGTTCTATATAAAAATATGACGAATAAACATGCTATTTTTCCCAAATAGCCCCTACCGTGAAAAAGTTTTTGTGCTATCTGTCAATGGTGAAATAGTCATCAAACTATTCAGCGAAGCATTTTGTTTCCCTCGCTTTTCATCTCGGAAAACTTCTGATTTTATACCGATTGTGACGTATACATTGCATATTATGACGTAACAAAAGTAAAGTCAGCATCGGTATAATAAAACACCTATTTACGCACTATAAAGACAATAGCAAGTTTATCGTCACCCTCGGGAAAGAGTTTGCTGTCTTGGGGAACGATAAACTTGCTACTGTCCTCATGACCAGTACATAAGTGTATAATGTACGTTTGTCCGTCTTTATGATCGGGGAATACTGCTCTTGGGGTAGCTTAGTTGTCACATTGTCTCCTGAATAGCAATTATCGTATGAAATTATTAACTCTTTTTTATATGAAGATGCCTTGTGAGACAGGAAATATGTAATATGTCTTCGGAATAGTCGTCAAAGGTTTATCTTAATAATGGAAGTAAATATAAACAAAGATCCGTGTCATAAAAATCATAAATCATTAACAACAATATCTTCAAACTTTAACTGGATATTTGAACATTATTCTATGAATTTAAAAATGCAAACTGTTATTTATTTTTTGCAGTTAGATATTCACAAATCGTTTCTCCTATTTAAACGACATCAAAAAAAAATTTGAGGGGGGAAAATGAAAATCCGCCAGTTTGAAACTACATTTTTACTTTAAACTCACAGCTGCACCATCAATCAGTTGTAGAATAGTCAGATGCATATCATTTGAACGACATAATAGAAAATTATAACAATTGGATGTCCGCAATTTTGAATCGCCATTTTAGCCTTTTTAACGTCATTTCATGAAGGCCGGCATGTTGTTCGGATTCAACATAATTGAAATAGGTTTTAAAAAAATAAACTGGACCAAATAATAAATGTTTGCCGTTAAAAAAATATCTCTAGTCTTCTTTTTAAAAATCAGGGCCAGACTATCAGGTCAATAAAATATAATGACTCATATGGACAAATTCAATGATGAAAGTGTTTGTTCAACTAGAAATAGGAAAATCCCGAGTCAAATTAGGATCCTTATATTTTTATGGTGTGGGTAAATGTATCAACTAAGTCACCATATATTTACATATTGACAAAGACTTTAATCCCTTGTATGCTGCATTTAATAATTTCTGAAGCATATTAAGTGATGTATATCAATGTTCGTAACCACTACATAGTAATGATATTATTTCACATCCGATGTAACAGCCAAGCAAATTTGTGAATGATGAAAAAGGTAAGGTTTAGTATTGTAGTTTACATATTAAACGCACAGAAGGAAATATTATATATAAAAGGATAAATCGAGCACAGGAAACCACAGACACTTGTTTCTGTAATAATTTAACACACAGTATGATAATAACATGTTTTGATACTTTTGGTTTAAAAAAGTTATAAAAGAAACTAATCTTTGTGCAGGAAACAGAGGCTTTATCATGTCCTTGTAACAAAACCGGAAGGGATACAGTGCTTTGTGTTTGTGCATGTGTGTCGATGATTCAGTGTGATATATATAAAGTACATGGTTACTATTTTGAAAAAGAAATGGGACCTCAATCACGTTTTCGACACGAACCCAAATATTGCTTATATTTCCATTCTGCTACCGTGAAGTTTTATCCTGCAAACTATTTTTTCAATTGTCTTCCAAAACAAGCTTTTTTAAGCCGATTTAAGCACATCTCTGCAGTTGAAACGCCCTTGGGTAAACATTGCAACAAACATTTCGTCACTATGCTTTTATAACGTTAAGAATACATTAGGGCATAGTCTAAATAAAACTTTGATATATAAGGTTACCTCAAAGCAAGGGATAGTTGAAGGATATATAGGGGTCTGTATTCTACTTTTTGATTAAATGCTTGACTTTATGATTCCTTTCTTTCAATTAATTAAGATTTGTACCAGTGCAAATATATGTACTTCAAGATAATGAAAACACATTGTACTCTTTACTTTATTTTTATTGCCACAATAAAGCCCTATGCATCCAACACTTGAACATTTTGTACAAGTTATACATGTACAGTAAAACACGTTAAGTACGAAAACGGATATAGCGAATTCATTTTTTAGTTTTTCAGTTTTTATGGATCCCCGGCAAAATTCTTAACAAATCTTTGTAAAATTTTACGGTTACAATGAACTCTGATATAACGAATTTACGGATCTAGCGAACTGATTTTGAGTCCCGTTGAGATTGAATATAATGAATTTTACATCTTTTATAACGAACTTTCAAAGATTTCAAAATTTGAATAATGGAACTGACTTTATTTTCTCTCAGCATTTGTATATAAAATTCAATTCATAATAAAACCTTAGTTATCGGAGGTATGTTTTGTAATATTTGCTTCCCTAACATATTTGATAGTAACACTGGAAAGAAAACATGCATACTGCGAATTCGCTATATATGGTTATACGAATTCGTTATACGGATATAACGAATTACGGATATAGCGAATTAAATTCACAGGTCCCCAGGACTTCGCTATAACCGTGTTTTACTGTATATAGTTTGATTTATTTTCTTTTGAAGCTGCCTAAACAATTCCTCTAAACCTACACTCAGATGCTTTAATACATAGATCTATCAGAGATACAGAGAACTGTCTATTACACGTTTGAACCAGCAGATAGTAAGGAGTGATGAAATGTGATAAAAATCACTGACACTGATATGGCTTAATTTGAATATTTGAACATATGTAAAAGTTATGTGTTAAATAATAAAAATAAATGGAAGCTGAATATTTAAATTATGGTTTATTATTTTGTTTTGTGTAAATGAGTATCAATATATCTATCATGAATGAGAAATTATGTCCTTAATACTTTTGTTGTAATAATCAGAAAAATCTGATGTCCGGCACGTTGGTTCACTCAAATGAAAATCAAATGAAATAAAAATGGAAATCCAATGGACCCAAATGGAAATCCAAAGAACCCAAATCGAAATCAAATGGAACCAAATGAAATATTAAATAATTATGCATAACCGTATTTTCAAGTTGTTACTTCTTACGAATAAGTATAAAATAATAAAGAAAACTTTTCTATCGTCAACTTCATCCCACTTATAGTAGTAGCATACACTTCTCACAGGAATACTAGGATTATTTCTGCAAGTTGAGTCGATACGCAATATTTTGCTCTACATACGAACAATTTTAAAAGTAACTTGGTTACTTAGCAAGATCTTCTCGTTTTCTCAAACATGACATATGGACAGCACTGTAGGTAGGACCGTCAGCAGGGGTTGCTTCTTCATCCAAAACACACCCTGTGATGTTTTCAGAGGCCTGAGGTTGCTTTGCTGTTGGTTTTTAAATGTACGTTTGAACACGATTACTGTTCCATATCTTCATATTTCATTTGTATGCCTAGTACATAAATAAGAACTCTTAAACGATAATTACTGACAACTAGAGCAAAGCTCGTTGCAAAGCAACGAGAAGGTCTTCCGTCCTGTTTGACCGGAAGTAATTTTCATTTTTACAAAAATGAGTTATTACGTCCTAAAATTGTTTAAATCCTCTAAAGCTATTTTATTTAATGCAAAAATCAGCCATTTTTTGCTACTTCCGGTTTGACCGGAAGTGACGATGACGGAAGGAAAATTAATTTTTATGCTCCTAGTGACAGATGTTACCCAAAAACTTGTCAAGAATGGCAAAATATGCATTTTCCGACTACTTCCGGTTTGACGACCTCAATAGATTGAGCTTGACATATTGAACAACTTTGCTTCTTTGATGTATTACAAATTCTCAATACTTTTTGAGATATGAATGAAAAACTTTTGGCCCCTCTTAGGCCCTTAATTTTAGGGACCAGCCCTTTTTCCGAGATATCATTTGAAAGATCTTCTAATTCTGCACAAATTATGTTCTATATATCTTATCAAAATATTTTTAGTTTAGAAGATAAAAAAAAAGCAAAATATAAATAATTTTTGGCTTTTTTAAGCGTTCTAATTTTTGACCCCTATATAGCGCCATTTTTAATAGAGAAATCGAAAAACAAAAACCGATGTGCACAACTTCAATCCTTCTATTATCTAAAATCAGTAGAATTTCTGCTCCAGCTTTAGCCGTCTCTGAGCCTTTGTCTGGAAACGAAAGCCTATAAATTTTCGTTTAAAGGGAAATAACTCTAAACCGGAAGTGACTTTTTGAAATTTTTGAAAGCATTCTGATAGAGTTTAGTAACTTCTAGTACCCCTGAAAATTTGAGCGAAATCAATTGAGAAATGAGTGAGATATGAGGCTTTAAAGTTGGCGTCTAGGAAGTAGAAGAAAAAAAAAAGAATAATAATATTTACCAACAGAATCAGTAGAAGGTCTTCCGTTTGAAACGGAAGACCTTAATTATCTACTTATTAAGGGACTCTTTTAAAACCCAACTAAAGTACTTCCTTCTTCATAAACAGTACATATTGTGTCAACCATGGAAAGGGTGATATCCATTTCTCTACTTTGCAGTCTGTTATTAGTCGATGTTCTTGGACAATACTGTAAGTTTAAACCTCATTATTAAGGATTGTGCTATCAAAGGTAAATGTAGGTGGTTCAGTTTGTCCCCTTATCTATTGCAGATCTACGATTTGATTATGGTTTTCATAGAGATAGAGTGTACGGCTCCGGAGAAACATTAAGGTGCAGAGGGTATGATAGAAAATTCTACAGGCAAAACTCTACAGCAAAAATTATTATCGGACAAAACCTTGTTAATGGTACTCACATAGAACTGTCATCATGTCCAATGATTAGGAAGACAAGGTGTTCTGCAAAACTCGTGAATGGTGGATGTGGACGAGTAAATTTAACATGTTCGATTGTAAGAAATGAAACCGAAGAAAGGAAAATAACAAGAGAGGTCCTTATAGCTGGTAGGTGCTCGAAATAATTCTTAAAGATTGATTTTTAATTTGACTATGCATCAATTTTGGTATGCATCGCTCAATGTTAGAAATATATGGATGAAACTTTTTTTAATAAATAGATGAAGCATCAATTGAGTCTTTCTATATTCGCCATAAAGGAGTGAATAACGAAAATGCCACACAGTTTTTTCCGTCAGAAAGTTTGATAAAGGTGGTTTGCCGTGGTGATGTTTCAACATTTAATTATGAAGTTTTGGAGGTAAGAAATACCAACTTTTAAATCATTTTCATTAAATCTAAATAGCTTTGATAAATTACATATCTTTTAGTTTGTTAATAGATTTCATATACCGGGTTAGTATTACATTCTAAGAGAATGAGGTTTAAAGCAGGTATTGATAGAGGGAAGTTTTATTTTAAGTTGTAAGGGTTCTTTGATGGGTAAACCTTAGTTGATTCAAATAGCGTGTGTTGTGAGTAAATATTTTTGATTCATATTTGTACATTTTATTGAGGGTTTGTTAAATATTTCTGTCTTACTTCAGATTTTTTTAAAAATAGGTTAACACGTCAACGTTTTTTTTATTATTATTATAATTTCGATTAATTTTGGTTTATCTGATAAAATAGATACCAAACAAACTGAATTATAATTAAAAACGGCCAACAGCCAAACTTCACAATCAATATTAATTACATATTATAATGCAGTCAATGATAGGACAATGCTTGTAGATTTATGTTCCTTAGTCTCCTCCCAAACGACTGAACTTTTTTTGTTTGTTTATTTCTTAAAAGCATCTCCGGATCCTGGATGGAATCCAAGAACTTTTGTTGATGTTGTTTTTGTAGAACTTGACATTGACCTGGGCCTGGGGTAACGGGTTTCTCAAATTTCAAGATCCGCCTTCAGTTCAAACAACAAGAATTTTCGATGAACACTGTAAAGTAAGCCAAACAGTGACGTCCTTCCTATCTTTGAAAGGGGAGCAGTTAGACACAGTAATAAGTTGCGAAACAGCGTATTCACATAGATATTTTTCGGGACGAAGAATGCAGCGGAAATCTATAAGAATAAAAACAATACCAGGTACTTTAATTATGAATTCTTAGTTATGTAATGATTGTCTATCTATATTTAACATACTTTCTCCATTTGAATGGATTCTATTTATAAATAACACTTAAAGTTTGAATGTATGCTGATAAACAGCGAGCTGACATAAGATTTTCTTAAATCTCTAATAGAATACCCATCACAATCAAAAACACCTTTTTATTTTGAGATTAAACCATAATATTTGTGTGTAAGAGTGTCTGTGGAAAAAGATACATGAATAAGATATTCCTTTTGCTTCTGTCCTTTTTAAATTTTTTACTCTTTCAAGAGGTAGGACAAATCCTGGGTCCTGTGGTTGTTATAACAGATGAGTTGGAGGATAGATCACTCCTCTCTTTGACATGTAAGACAACTGATTTATACAACTCAACGGGTGTCGAGGTAAACGTGAGAACGTTAATCATACGAGGATTGTCCGTAAAGTTCGTGGACAAGCTTAAAAAGATTTAATAAAAGTTGTGTCATTGATATTTATTATTGGCATATTTCTAATCCTTAATTAATTGTAAATTAAAAAATGTAAGAATTTATTCAATTTCAAATGTTTAATTACAATTATGGGTTCATAATTAGACTTAGAATGGGGACCCGGAGACAGCAAAATTTTAATAAAAAAATATTTATTACTTTATAAATAAATAAATAAATCTGAAAGAATTTTACATTATGATGTTGCCAGAAGCTATCACGTCAAACCTGCAAAATTTGAACGTTCAAAAATTCAAAATGGCTGAGCAACTAGTTATAACATATTAGGACAGGATCGGAATTGTTAAATAAAGAGACGTTTTTGGTATAGGTGGAGCAATGAACAGTGATAAAATTTTGCACAGACATCGGACCTACAGAGACAAATTCATTCTGTAAACTATCGAAAACATTTACCAATCGGGAAACAAAGTAAATGAAGTCGTTAACTGCATTTAAGTGGCATGTAATATTTTCGGACGGAATGAAGAGTTTACAGAATGACATGCGTGAAGGAAAACCATCATTCTGAGATTGCAGTGCTGTAAAAAAAAAAAAAGAATTTCGTAACGTGATCATGACTTTGCCGTATTTCCGTAAATAAAATCGTCTTTACATGGACAGTGCATGGTTGGATGATTGCATGATATGAGACAGGCATTGTTAAATATTATTTTACGAATGAAACCTGAACATTTTATGCATATTTTTATGACTTTTCAAAACGGCATAAGCAATTATTGAGTTATAGGCTGACTATGTTAAGAAAAGTTACATGTGCTCGTATTTAGCTTTTGAGGTAACTTCAAGAATTTTTGTTTTAGTGCTCCGGGTATGAGTGTGTGTCTTTTTTTGTATCTGATATAAATATAACTATTTGTGCTTTGTTTTTGTTGAAAACTTGCTTTTTTATAAAATGAAACATGAATTTAATGTCAATAATAGTTTCATATATTTTGTTAATGTTTGTCAGTAATTATCAATGTTGTCCAAGAACTTTACGGACAGTCCTCGTATACATGTTATATTAACGTCTTTAATGTTGCACTCATAGGTATGGCTATGTCCTGTTGTAGAAATTTTTTAAATAAGATATTTACATTATTAATATTAGAAAGCAAGGGGGCATAAAATCTTATTCATCTGTCTGTCTGTCCGTCTGTCACAAAAACTTTAAACCTTCTAAATGAGGAGAAATAGGGTTTTTATATTTCGCATATATATATACATATATATATTACATGTGACAAGACCTTTTAACAAAAGAAATTATCATTTGTTACAGGATATCAAATGGTGCATCATAAAAGAAAATAACACACAATTTATCCCTCTTCCTCTTCAACAAGATCCACTTCTTGAAAGCTTTAACATTTCAAAAGAGAAGACTTTGAAAAGTAGTGTTCTCTATCAGTTTTTGAAAAGCGATGAAAATGTTGAAATTACTTGTGAAGCTAACCACTCGAACACTTGCGGATCAGGAACATTAAGGGGCAAAGTTCGCTTAAATTCTCATTCAGTGGAAAAGACAAATAATTTTCTTCAAAATAACAAGAACTTTGCAAAAGGTATGTTTATGAGTAGTTATGCATGTTTTCAAAGATCTAGAGAATTACTAAAACTGTGTCAATTGAAGTAGCATTAACAGTCCAATTTGAACGTGAGAAGATCATTATTCCCATTTTAATGCAATTCTTGCATGCATTTTGTTTGATTGAAAAATCCCATTTTCATGTGTTTTGTAATAAAAAAAATACGTCAGGTAGGAATGTGTATCTGTGCCATTCTATCAAGGCATCACAATCAAAAGATTTCATGCACAGTAATTGTAACTGTTTTAAAATTATTTCATTAGCCAGTTGAAATGCGAAGTATAAAGCGATTTTATAAGAATTAAAACAGATGGGTTTTTTTCTGCGCCTGTTTCTGAAACATTGATAAAAATCGCATCAAAAGTATTTAGCTTTACATCCAAACTCGATAAAAAAAAACAAAAAAACATTTATTTAAAAAAATCAGTTTTAGGGTCTTCATATGATTTACAGATGATACACGTGTCGTGTATGTTGATTCGGATCAACCATACACACTTATCTATGTCTCGGTAAGCCTGATGATTGCTAGCTTCATAATCCTGATAACAGCAGTTGTTGCTTTTTGCAAAGCAAAGAAAAGAGGTGAGTATTCAACTGATTTTTATGTTTATTATAAGAAGGAAGCTCAAAATTATTTACAGTGTATAGTGGAATTTAAATATGATATCTTTAAACACATCCCTTTAATGGAATGTTTCATTATCATTTTTTTTCTTGTATTAGAATTATGTTTTAGCTACATTTTAATTCGAGAAAATTGTTAACTAAATAATTATATATTAGTAAATTGAGCCTTTCGTAATTTTTTTTTTGTAAGACCGATCTTTAAAATCATTAATGCATAGCATTAGATATGAAAATGACCATAAGAAAGAAATTTATGCGGTCACATATTTTTCAACTATTGTATTGTTCATGGTGTATTCTTTGGATATACTTTTTAAAAATACTAGTATATAAAGCTTTGATAAGTACACATGTTTATATGAACCTGTAGTTCAGGAGTGTAAACTGATGAACATTTTACTCATATTTTACAGTGAAATATAAAACCAGCAAAACATCGTAAGTAGTTGCGCATCCTACTTGTGTTTCTTTATAAAAACGCACAATATAAACTGATAATGAAAAACAACAATGATTTTTGTTTTATGTCTAGGTTTAAAGAAAGGAAAAGATTGTAATTAATAGGATCCTTTTTATTTTTATTTCTGTGTTCAATACGTGTTATAATTTGAATTCCAAACAAATTCTATGTTGATTTATTCTCAGACTTTGTTAATCTCCAAAATTGATTGGAAAAAGTAGCTTTTTCATATTTGTTATTTATTCTAGGCACATATTTTTCATTACTTAAACAAGGTCTAATCACTTAGATACATAAGGAGTTTTGCTCAATAATTATAATATCCAATTTAAAAATAAATTTACAAACACGCTTAAAGAAACGAAAAAAATAATATAAGAAATCACATGAATATACATTTGTGAAATTGGAAAAGGAATGACTGATTTCTTTTCAGCTCAAATTTTCAGTCATAAAGATTAATTTGCATGAAACAATCAGTGTAGATAGATATATGTATGCACCTTTAAACAAAATGCTGAAATATTCCACCTGTAATTTTTAGTTTGAATGCTGCTGCTGCAAATAAAGTTGACTTACGGAAACCAAAAGCAAATGCATTCACTTCGAACAGGAACAAACCAGTCTCAGACATGCACCAGAATCAAATATCGTCTGGAGATCAAACCTATTCAAATGCTCTAGCTCATTTAGATGGAGCAACTATCGATGTTTATGAAACAACTGAAGGTAGCGAGAAAGGGAATATGTATGAACCTTTAGAAGTACATGATATTGAACAACATGTTTATGAAGAAAAACTTAAAACTTCTGATGTTTATGAAGAGGTTTAAACATGACGAAAACTTCAGAATTCTGGAAGTAGAAGATCGAGAATCGGTTTAATTGTTCTCGAATATACTTTATTACAGCGAGCTCAAGTGACCAATTAGTAGACGCTTTTCGCAGCATAAATAACAAATACTAGTATATACTTCTTAGTTATTTACAAAAAGATATATATCAAATACTTTTTTTAATTTCCTAATTGCTTTAAAATGTGTTTAAACTTGAAAATTAACTCCTATATTTTATTTTTACTAATGTTATTTTCCTAATTTATATTATGTAATACAGATATTTTGAACCTAGTAACCAGGTTCATTTGTCTTTTTTTTCTTTTTTGGCTTGATTTGAAGTTAATCTTCTTTTTTTATACAAAAGACGCCACTCAAACTGATCAGATACAGAAAATTCTATTGCATACCTTTAAAACCTTGTCCTGATACACATGATTTTTGAAATGCATATATTCGATTGATTAAAACAAATAATCTTGTATTTTATAAAGTCAATTTTCTATTTAATTTGGCTTGCAAACACATAAGTTAATTCATAGGGTCATATTTTTATTGAAGTTTTAAAGTCTTTGATTTTATAAAATGTTTATTGAAAGATTATTTTACCTTGTATTTCTAAATTCTAAGAGGGCTGATTTCAAATGGGTATTTTAACATGATATAAATATCAATCTAAGAGAGAGGAAATGAGTAGCAAATGCGACTGCAAAACATCGGCGAATCTCTCGATCGCGTTTGAATTTCCTTGCGAAAGTATTAAGATGATTCAGGTATACTTTTTATTAAGTTAAGTAATACATGAAAAAAGCTTTTATAAAAACACTAAATATTATATCCGTAAGTTTATTTTTTATGGAAATAATAGGATATAACTTTCATAACAGCTGCATAATGAAACATTTGTTTTCTTCTCTTTTTTTCTCTCTAAAATTAAAAGTTTTTGTATACTTTAAGCTCTGCTCCCAGGGGTACATTCTGTACTCAGTCTTTGATAATTCATTACAACGATCATAAATGATTAAATACTTTTATTTTTGAAAAAAAAATCGGACACTGAAAATGGTAAAATTAATGATTTTAAAAAAATGGGGGAAAATATAAAAATTTTAGTCGGCATCGTGATCCTTTTCTTAAATCCAACCGATATAAAAATCCGTAGACGAAAGATGCATGAAAAATCCTCAAGTTGCAATTAGCAAAAATTTAAAATATATAATCAATGATTATTCATTATTTATAAAATTTTGTTAAGTTCCTATGATAGGTATATTAATAAGTTGTGAAAATGCTTTTTAAATTTGATTTTGTCCATTTTGTTTATTATTATTTTGAGCCTTTGAAAAGAAATAAAAATTAAAGTGCATATTGAAAGAAATTTGCAAACTTGTTATTAGTTCAAGAAATCAATGTAAATTGCTTAATCTACAAATGAAAGAAGGTGACAATGATAACTGGATAATTCTTGCGATGGACAAATAATTTTATGTTCCTTAGTTCTCCTGCCAGACAACTGAGCTTGTTTTTTGGCTAAAGCAGGCAAAAACAAACAACATCATTGAAGTGAAAAATGTCATTTATTGAAGTAAATGACGTAAAAGTAGTAAAACATATTTACAATACAAGAAAGGGGGTCAGGAAAGGGGACTTAAATATAAAATATTACATATCTTTATCACAATATTGCACAATCTGACCCCCAGCACCATAATGTCATTGTAAATGATATACAATAGAAAAAAGGGGGATCAACCAGAAGACTAATTAAGAAATCAAAACCTGGAAAAACATTGTCATGTATAGTATACATATTATATATCTTCAGTTGACCCCCTATTAAACATAAAAAGTTCTAAACATACATGAAAATAAATGTGTTACATTGCTGCCTGCTATCAAAAAAGGTGGGTAAAAGAACATAAAACACAGCCACATACAATACGGAACCAACAGATGACTACTGACTTGGTTCCTACTGTATGTTACGTTTTCTTTAGACGGTTTAGATCATTTCGGACTATAAATCTTTATGGATACAATACGGAACCAACAGATGACTTCTGACCTGGTTCCGACTGTATGTTACGTTTTCTTTAGACGGTTTAGATCAGTTACCTATTGTAATTTTGACATTTAATGTAAACCCCTGAGAAGGCTTTTATGGTAGCATCGAGTCGAGTATGTCAATGAGAAATACAATGTATAATTACAAATGCCTATATTTTAAATGACTGGATTCTAATGTATCGACGAAAGGCATCAGAATTCCACCAGCCTAATTTTTGAATAACTTGTTCAGAATAGCCTAAGGAGGCTGCATGAGTAGCAGCACCAATCCTGAAACTGTGACCCTTAAAGCTATCTGTATCTAATCCAATAAATTGTATTGCAGTCTTCAAATGTGTAGTTACTAATGAATAAGACACAGGTGAACCATCCATTGTTTGAAACAAAGGTCCAGTCTTGTGGTTGAAAGTTTGAACATAGTTAGACAATGCCTGAACTGGACAATATTGGGAATTTGGACTTGCTTGCAGGTAAATTACTAACGGTTTGTTGTGTTTGTTTGTTTTGTATTCTCTCATGATGATTTGAACTCCTACAATCGAGTTTGATTTGTGTTCAAATGTTACATCTTCCCTTTGCAAAACTTTATCGCTACCCTTTGCAGATTTCACTGTTAGTTCCCCTAACCTTAATAACGCATGGAAAGCCACCAAAAACACTGCACGAAACAGCACTCTTAGCGAGAAGAGTTTGACTGTGTGATCAAGGGCCTGTACTAGTCTTTGTAGAATAGGTGCAGTTATTGGTAAGCGAGTGTCTTTCCTTGGGCCCAATGTTTGACAGCCTTTAAGAATTTTCTTAACCACAAATGCCTGAGTGGGGTCTGACATATTACAAATTTTATGAACAAAACTGATAGCCGACATATGTGATAAAATAGAACTGGGGGAGTAGTTATTGGAGAACAATACACCAATGAAGTTACATACATCAGTCACCGATATTGGTAGTGAAAGTCCTGGCTTCCATTTCAGTAAATACTGCCAACTTTTGCGATACGCTAGGGCTGTGGATGATGAAAGAGATGAAGTCAGCAATTGCCTACTGATTGGGCTCAAATCGACAAGAGGTCCTTGGGCACCACTGTTTGACTGGGATTCAAGTGAGGTGCTATCCTAAAGGCCTCCTGAAATTTAAACCGAGATAGGTGATCTGCTAAAGTATTACTTTTCCCAGGAATGTGCTTAGCTTTAAAAAGAATATTCTGAGAAAGGGTCACAAGAACAAGTCTCCTAACTAGTTTCATGAGAGTTTTTTCCTTGCATGTTTGCTTGTTTATGGCGTGCACCACAGCTAAATTATCGGACATGAAAAGTATTTTCCTATCGGCAAGATATGATCCCCAAATCTCTAAAGCTAATACTATTGGGAACATCTCTTTAATTGCGATTTGCTGATGTGACATGTCTTTGATTGCGTCCCAACCCAGGGCAAACCAGTTTCTACGCAAAACAGCTGCACAGCCCAATGACCCTGAAGCATCAGTAAAAAGTAATTGTTTTTCAGCAGAGGCCCAAATATCTGGCAGAATAACCGATTTCCCATTAAAGTTATCTATAAAATGGGACCACATACTCAAGTCAGCCCTTGCCTCACAAGTAAGCCTTATGAAAAAATGGGGTTGAGTTATTCCACAAGTTAAATCAATGAGGCGACGCAGAAAAGCCCTCCCTGGGACAACTACCAGACAGGCAAAATTCAAAAGCCCTATTAAAGATTGTAAGTCTTTAAGTGTTATTTTCTTCCTATTCTTGGCTTCGTGTAACCTATCCCTTATTTTTAAGAGTTTAGCCTCTGGCAATCTACAGACCATTTCAATAGAGTCGACTTCAATGCCGTAAATTGTCAATGTAGTAGTTGGACCCTCAGTTTTTTCAGATTTGATGGGTATACCAGATTCTTGACAAATACTTAAGAACCTCTGTAATGATGCCTGGCATGCATCAGACCGGTGTGGGCCTATAAAGAAAAAGTCATCTAACATGTGGGACATGCCAGATGCACCAAATTTTTCACACATAACCCACTGCAAACTGGTACTGAGACACTCAAAAATTTGGCAAGAGCTACTGGCACCCATGGGTAGACACTTATCATAATAGAAATTACTATCCCAGGAGAAACCTAGGAGTTTGTAGTCTTCAGGGTGTATGGGTACAATACGAAAATCGTCCTCAATGTCTGCTTTTGCCATTAAAGCCCCTTTACCAAATTTCCGAAGAAGTTCAGTTATATTATCAATCGAGTCGTATTGTACTTTTGAATTTTCTTCAGGAATGCCAAGGTTCACTGAATCAAATTTGGGAAAGGAGAGATCATGAATTACCCTATATTTATTCGGTTCTGATTTTGGAACCACTCCAAGAGGAGAAGAAATGAAATTTAGAAAAGGTGGTTCCTTGAATGGTCCCGCAATTCGACTCTTTTCTTTCCCTACACTAATGAACTGATCAATAACTACAGGGTGATCTAAAGCACTTTTGTGATTTCTAGAGATCTTCATTGTAGGTGGAGATGTACATCCTAGCTTAAAACCTTGTGAAAAACCCTCTGAAATCACTTTTAATTTCTCTTGATCATAGCCTTGTAGTATATGAATAAGCTTATTTATCTTGATTGGGGTTGGTATATTTTGAATTTGAGTTTGATTTAAAGGAGTAGGAACATTTGACTTTGGGATGATTGCCCTTGCATTGCATGCAGCTGTGCCTGAATTGACATGGGGACCTTGTGCAACGTTCCCCTTTGTTAAACTGGTAACAGTATTTGACTCGAAAGGGCTGATTTAACGCGGTCTTATTTTGATAACCAGGTTTGGGCAATGTTATAACTTTCAATCTTAGTTCTTGCACCGGAATTTGCCAAGGTGCAACAACAGATTCTCGTAGTTTACGAAAATGTTCATCATAAGCCCTGAAGGCATTATCCCCATGTAACTGTTGGATCTCTCTGACCATGTGGCAATATTTGAACAAATGGGGTGCCTCCTGGGGAAATTTCTCAATGTAGATAGATGCGAATATCAAAAATGCATCTGTCCATTGAGAAATACTGATCGGGAATTTAAATTTTGGACTCTGCTGTACATTTATAATGCCTGATGAAATTGACACTGAAAGTGGTTCATCTCGTACACTTAACAAAGATCTTAAGTCAACAAATTCATTATTCCAAATCTTAGTTTTGGTTTTTTGTGAAACCGTGGAACTGAGAGGAATCCCATCTGTTAAAGAAATTGTCTTACTCAGTGGGCTTAAGTCCTTGTGTGTAGAGCGGTCCCCAAGGAAAATTTGATCCAAAAGAGTTCCCAATGTGGAAGTCGTTGCTGGCTCAGCACTTTGAGATGTGGAAGGAGATTCCAAGGTCACAGGCATCTGTCCGTCATCTGATGTGTTTTGCGAGGGGGCGTTTTCAGGTTGTTGCTTAGATATGGCTAACATGGCTTCAGCTAGTTTGTTATAATCAATTTGTCCATAGGCAGGCCCCGGGATCACTTCAGGGTGCTCAATGGCTGTAGTAGGCTGTGGTGTCACTTCAGGTTGCTTGGTGGCCATTTTTTGCCTCTTTGTTGGGTTTTTGGCTGGAGTTTGCTTCCGTTTCGGTGGCATTGTAGATCTCTGCAAGAGAATGAAAGTATTACTTCTGCACAATTTATAAAATTTGAAATATCCAACCAATCAATGTATTTGATTCAACAACAAGTTCACCATGCTATATGCATTCAACATATTTTTAAAATTATAAACATTGAAACCAGAAGAGCTTTTTATTTTTATTTATTTTTTTTTTTTTTGGATGCATATGATCCTGTATCTACTAATAAAATATTGCGATACACAAACAAGTGCAACTGTTTTTGTTTTTTTTTTTTTTTTTTTTTTTAAATTTAACTCAATCAACATACAGCAAGTGCATATGGTCCTGCACAATTTTTTTTTTCTTTTTTTTTTTTTTTAATTTAATACAGCAAGTGCATATGGTCCTGCACATTTTTTTTTTTTTTTTAATTTAATTCTCTCTATCAACATACAGCAAGTGCATATGGTCCTGCAAATTTTTTTTTTTTTTTTTTATAATTATTATTCATTCATCTTATACTTATAACCAACACTCAAGCATACAATATTGCACCACCATTTAATTGTGCAAATCATTGTGATTTGTAAGAAACTACTCAGTACCAACTTAAATCACAGCTCATGTGTACCCCATAAGCATTACCCTTAGCATTAATTTCTGTTTAAGTCTGAGCATATGGTCTCGCAAGTATATTATGAACTTGCATCATGTTTTACCATACTTTTCAGATAAAATTTTTACATCATGCCTAATCATGCTAAAAGTAAGAATACTAAGCATTCATAATGAAATTATTTTGCACGTCATTTTCTCAGCGTTCTGTTAAAATGAATATTTTCCAAAATCATTGGCCCAATGCAACCAGCAATTGTTAACTTTTAGAGCATTATAATGTTAATGGCCATGTATATATGCAGTATCTAAATGACCAAAACATGAGACTTCAATCATGAGCTAGTCCTATCAACTTTTAATGGACCATACATGACTTCAATAAAATTAATATACTGGCCTGTCTTATGCCGGTAGTGCAATACTGCAGAGCGGATACTCCGCCAGAATCGATGCATTGGAGAAGATGTCACAACATGATGCTCCGAGTGTGTGCGCAAATGTACACCATCCTTGCTCAAAAAGTCCAAGCTTTTCCAAAAGCCTCTGTGATGCCAAAAGTGTATATTGTCCAGTTTTTTTACATTCATTCATCAAAAGTTTGTTTATGTGGATCACACGGTCATTAAAGTCATTAGATGAGGCCCAAGGTCTACGTCTAAACAATTGACCAATTAAAACAATTTGTACCCCTACACCAAGGTGAATATATGAAGCTAATGATAAAATGTCTCTTGCTATATTGTTAGGACTGCTTAGCAAAATGTCATTTTCTCCTATCTGCATAAAGCAAATATGGGGGAGCACCTCAAAATTCAACAAGTCTCTAAATAGACGACTGTCTCTTAACTTTAGCCCTCCACGGCCATTCACGGTCACCGAATATTGTTCGTCGTTGAGTTTTAGATTACTTAATTCACTTGAATTGTTCATGTAATATCCCAGGCGTCTTATAAAAGAATGTCCAATCAAAGATACACGAAGAATACTGCGATCGTCCATGTTGTGACAGTCCTCTCCGTTGCCCGGATGTAAACACTTACACAATAAAACTTACATAACTGTCTGATTTCACAACAAAACACAAACTCACTTTTGCAGGAAATCTATAGTATCTGTGAAACAAATACGTGCATCACATAACCCCAAATCTTCAGTAGTATGGCTAGATCCAAAACTATCAGGGTTTTCCGGGGAATTAAAGCGAATAATACGAAAAATTGAGCAGTACAAATGACGTGACTTTCTCTTCTGGCAAAAAGATAAACAATGGACACGTGATAGCAAAGCGCTTTGCTGATTGGTTGAAAACAATACGGAAAGGGGTAAATCAAGTTACATAAGTAAAGCCCGGATGACACATTGCATAAGTCTATTACAAAAGAGACATTGTTATACAATAATTTAATATAAAGAAATATACAAGAACATGTCACATAAAGGTCATTATTTACAATAATAACTTATTTTTATCATACACTGACATTTAGTGAAGTTCAACATTTGAATTTCAAAAATACTAGTTTTGATGTATTAGACAACAACTTTCCCTTTCAGACGTTTTATTTGATATCAATATTGCATGAAGAGTATGTGCCAAAATGCACATTATATGTCCCCATATAGATATTGTGCATGATTCCTTTTTAAATGATTGTCACATACTTATTCGGCGAACATTTAATTGTTTGAAAAGTCAGTAATGTACATTTCATAAAACTTGATTATCTTTTTCACTTGTGTGTTTTCATGTGAAAGAAGTAGCTAAAACTATTAATAAACGGAAATAATCCAGTATGAACAGTGATCGATCTAAAAAGAAAATCGGACCCCTGAAAGTTCAAGAGGTGGGATCCGGTGCCTAGGAAAAGTAAACATCCCCGTCGACAGATAACAACCGCATTGAGCCTACGCAACTGAAGCTCTCTGACATTTATTTATTAACAAAGTTCATCTGCTTATCCACCCGTTTTTCTCAAACCAGCCAGCTAAGAATTTGACTTATCATTTCTTTTTTTTCTTTTTGAGTTGTTTGCTATAGTAGCAATTCAAATACCTAATTTTAAAATCAATAGAGCATTAAAGACAATTGAATTAGAGAAATCAACATGATTTTTTTACGTCTTGAGCACTTCTGCACGCCACCAAGAAAGAAAGTTTTTAAAATTGCACTTCCTGCCTTTACAACTGAAGAAATATCATATTGGTATTTTTAAACATACATTTGCGACATCAGTCTGGGAAGTTATTGTTTTTACTATTTAGTAAAGTATTATTAAATTCATAATTTCTCATTCTTCTCTGATGACATTGGACAAAGATATGCATACTTTAATATCATCATTCCATGCATTTTTTTGTACATGTTAGCTGAAAGCATGCTAAACGCTTTTCAGTACTTTCAGTACTTTGATTAAATTATGTCCTTCCGGAAATACATATGTAATTGGTAATCGAACTGGCTTTTACTTAGAATATCTGCTGGTCAATCGTTCAGTTGGATTTGATCACGAAGTCGATTTTGGCTGGTCAGTTTTCTAATCGGACCATAGTAAATAAGAGGTACGTTCAGGTTCAAGAAGTATACAATGTACCTCTTTTCACGTTTTACTTTGTCGAAACTCATGCTTAAATTTTGCTATCGTTTTGCTATTTTTTTTTATACTGTAGAAAGTTTGTTTTCTTTATATATTTTATGTTCACATTATTTTTAGAAGCAAACCATTACTGCCTAAAGTAACCACCTGTAAATCTAAATTAGCTTAAATTGCTAATTTTAACAATTTTTCGTCATCATTTTCTTTAGAGTACCTGCTCGTGAAATTGGAGTGCTTTTAATGTTTAGTCATTTAAACCAGTGCTAAAGATAGTAGTTAACATTCGACGTCAAGAAAGTCACTAATTTGTTACAAATTCCATTCGAATCGTTAAAGTACAAATTACGTAATGTATTGTCCATTGTAGAACTGGAAAAGCACAATGATTTTTCTTAGCATACCTTTATATCATACATATTTCAACATGCTAGCAAAAAAAAAGATCGTGCACTTTTTATATTATTTTAAGGATATCCAATCCTCAGCCAGGAAGGATAACTCCAAAAATTAATATTTAATTTGAAATGCATTAAAATGAAGCTTGAAAATAAATTTTTTTTCATGCAATAATTTTCATTTTATTCATCTTTATAAGATTCAAGATTTTTGGAAGTCTTTGAAAAGGTCTTATAAAAGTTGACATTTGTACCCTATAAAAGGAAAAAAAATCATACAGTTTTAGAGAAATAAGATTTTCTTGAATTCAGTCTTAGATACCAATGCTTATTAGCATGATTTGAAATAAGAAGTGATTAGTGGTGTCTGGCAATGATATAAAAAGCTTTTTACACTATGTATTATAGAATACACGATGGAAATAGAAGACAAAAAATACCAAATGAGTATAAAAATCTTGACAATTTCTCAGAATGCCTGGATGCCTATCATTTTTTAACCAAAAATATATTTGTTGATCAATTTGCAATTAGAAAATGCATTGCTGACATTTCCATTCTCTTTTTCTGGAAAAATATAAAAGTCCTGACAATTTTCTCTATATAATCTTATAAACTTTAATCTTTAACTTAAAAGAAATTCTGTGGATAAATTTACATAACTTTGAGGATTCAGAGATACATTTATAAGCATTTTTGATTACTTAACTGCTAATTTTATAAACCTGAGGATCGGACTACCTTAAGGTGCAATATCCCTCTGCTAAGAGAGATAACTTTCTGAAGACAATTTCCCATGAAATTCAATGAATTGTCATGTCAGATTTCATAGATTTAATTCACAAGGATCGTTTTACCTTCAACTCAATCGAGTCTATTCTATCGTGCAGATGTTGAGTTGTAGTTTCTAATGCCAATATTTTCATGAATTACTTATCATAGGTTACCTAAAACAATTATACTCAGTTCCTTTAAACGGTGTAAATTGAGATATTTGTATCTCTTAACGTATAAGTTATTTAATTGTTACAGAAATTGCAGATGCGGGATTGTTTATAAACATTGAATTAATATTTTGTTTCACTAAAAAATATTTTCAAGGGCGATAATGGATAGATAACTCTTGTTGATGGATGTGTATTACTTTACAAGCACAGAAAACAATTTGATATTCTGATTTAAAAAGCAACGCTTCAGAATGTTTTCTAAAGAGAATTAGATAGGTATATGAGAGTAAATATTATTTTCATATACACCTCATATTTCTTATTCAATTGTGAGATAAACAATAATTGATCTTTCTATTTCCCATATCAATTTTTCTTCACATCATGATTTGACTTATTATTAATTTCTGAAAAAGTAAGCAACGCTTCATGCTTTAAACTATTTCCATTTGAATCTAATGCCATCGTTGTTTATGAAAATCAATGTTTGGAATTTTAAAAAATGGTGAAATTTGGTGAAGAGGGATATTTCACCTTAATACGACAATTTTGAAAATATTTAAATAGAAAGAGCAATATATGATAAGTGTCTCAATTGGCCCCTTATATCTAGCTTTGATTTGTACAGCTATATATGCGACTTTTATTGGTTATTTTCATTTTGATCAAAATGCCATTATTTCAGATATATGACATCATAAAAATCACGTTTTCCTCCCATTTTAGCATATTTTGTATAAAACTGCTTATTTTCAATCAGTTTTTCTTCCAGAAAATATAGAGCGCAGCCTAGAAGAAGCTTTACATTATTACTAAAGATATATCTATCCAATAATTATTAGTGACAGAATAATTATGTATGTTCTACACTGCGCTCTATGTTTCCCATAAGAAAAAAACATAAAAAGAAGGCATATTTTTGGCCTCTTTGTTAGTTAGCAAAAATAGCATTATTATGTTCCCCAAACAAAGTCGGGGAACATATTGTTTTTACTCTGTTTCTTATTATTATTATTATTATTAAGGTCTTCCGACTTCCTTCGGAAGACCTTATTGTTATTCGTCTGTTTTTTATTATTAAGGTCTTCCGACTTCCTTCGGAAGACCTTACTGTTATTCGTCTGTTTTTTATTAAGGTCTTCCGACTTCCTTCGGAAGACCTTACTGTTATTCGTCTGTTTTTTATTATTAGGGTCTTCCGTCTTCAGCGGAAGACCCTTCTATTTTTCTTCGGTTTCTTTTTCCCCTTTATTAGGGTCTTCCGTCTTCAGCGGAAGACCCTTCTATTATTCTTATGTTTCTTTTTCAATTTTCTTATTATTATTATTAGGGTCTTCCGTCTTCAGCGGAAGACCCTTCTATTATTCTTTTGTTTCTTTTTCAATTTTCTTATTATTATTATTATGTCGCCCCGAACGAAGTCGGGGACGACATATTGATATTGCACGCATGTTTTTTTTATCCAGGCTGTTTCTCGGAGATGGCTGGGACAATCTTCCTGAAACTTTCCTTCAAGGACGATCACTGGTTGTAGTTGTGCAGTGAGGTCGTTCAGTTCCAATATGTCTACCGTTGCCATGGAAACCTGTAAAAAGCGACAAATTTTGTCCGAGAGTGTTCTCTCTGGTCCCTTAAACGTTCGTCATGAAACTTTTCTTATTTTAATGATTAGTATCTGTAGTTCTGCAACTCGTATTTAAAATTTTCATATAATCGATTATTGCCATGGAAACCAGGTGAAAGTTAAAATTCTTTAATTTCGATTTTCTCAATAACTACTCAGGCAATCGTTTTGAAACTTTCAATGTTTATTCCTTGCAATGTGTCAAAGTGATTTCTACTTTCAAAATAATTGTAATGAGTCGCTCGCGGTTGCCATAGAAACGAAACAGAAAAAAAGATTCAGATGTACACATGTGTTCTCCAAGGTCTAGGTCAAAGGGTCAAAGTTCGTCGTATCCAATAAAAGTTCTTTTCACAAGGATTACATATTTGAAATACGAAAGCCCTAGTACTTACCGTTCAAACGTTATGGCTATTTACTATGTTCAAGACGCCCCCCCCCCTCTTTTTATGAAGCACACAGCCAAGTAGAATACACAGATATAACATATACAACTTACAAGTAACTTTTTAAAATCTTCATTCATAAAATTCAGTTCCCGTCATGTGATATTTTGCCATCATTCATTCTCCTTCTGTTTTGACTCTTGA